GCAGTGCTTGGCTTCCAGATGAAATGTGTTTCAGCTTTTTTTCTCCTTTTTTTCATTGTGACACACAACGCACCCTGCAGTACAGCTCTTCCTCGCGGAAGACAACCTCTTTACACATGATCCTTATGAGAGGTCTCTACTCAGCGGCCCTGAAAAGCCTTCTAACAACAGTTTCATTTGTAAATCAGTGAGGGGAGAAGTGGGTTCCGGTAGAGCTGGAAGTGGCCCGAGACAACTTGTCTCAATGGGGCAAAATAACTATTGTTATCGAGCTTAACAAAATGGCACAGCATGGGAGACACGCCGAGCCAGAGAGCAGCTGGTTGTAATTCACACTGGTTTTCAGAAAACACTAATCGTTCCCGAACAGACCTCTTTGAGGATTGGTCTTCCCTGCATTTTCAATTTGTCACTTTCTCTTATGATAAGGTCAGCGGTGGCAGCACTTCCTGACATTAACAGCTGTGGCTTTTAAAAGGGTCATTGTGGAACTACTAATTGCAGTAATTTCATTAGCATAAATTATTTATTCTGCCATTCATTTATCTCCAGGGTTTGTGGGTTTGGTTTTTTTTTAATACTACATTGTACTTTTCAATATATGCCCATTCAGGGTTGTAGGCAAAGGAAATTATTATTGCTAATTTAGCCTTCTGTATTAAAAAAAAAAAGGCAAACAAAAAAGAGTTGATACAGTAACAAAATCTGATTTAACTGCAGTTCACTAGAAAGCATAAAGTAGCTTGAAGCCAATAATGAAGATTAGGCTGGTACGAATGAAACCCATTCAATAGTCCTGAAGACAACTGAGCAATAAGCCTATGTACAATCTGAAAGGAAATATAAGGTTGAAGCCTGTTCATTCTCATGCAGTCTCTCTCTATTCTACGTCTTGGCTGACTTTTAAGCATGCAAAAAAACCCCCCACCCTCAATGCAAATTATGAGTAGCGTTTAGACAGGAGTTTTACCCTTTTGCTTTCCTCGGGATGTAAATTAGTCACTACCAAATTGATAAATCTTAGCTCTTCGCAGTTAAGTCGAGCTAGCTGAAACACGCCAAGCAAAGGGCAAAAAAACCAATGTCACTGAACTTGAATGCATCCCACGGGCAGTCATCAAAACTGAGAATAAAACCAAGCCAGCGTGCGTCTGAAGGAAGAGGTAGCTGGGAAGTGAGTGTGGGGAGTGTAAGAGGCAAGGGGAAAAAGGCAAAAAAGTTACTTCAAGGTTCTTCTTTACCATACCACATGTTGTAAAATACTTTGGAGTGCAATAAATTGAGAGTATAATGAATTTATCCTTGGTATGCTTAACAGTGTGCACTGTTTGGTGCTGAGCCCCAGAGGAGCGGCATACAAGAGAGCAACAGCGAAATACTCAAGGGCGATGTCAGAGATGTACGCTGCTGTTATTTTCAAAGGGATGGATGAAACAACCCTGACTTTTTTATTCTGTACTCAGTGCTGACGTGAAACCAGCTGAAAGTAAGGAAGAGAGATTGGGTCATGTTGAATTTGGAGACTGAGTCATTATTTCAAAATACTACAGATCATGTTTTATACCAAATGAGGCACTTCTGTAAATTTGTTAAGCTCAGTATATGGATTTCAGAATCTCTGCACACTGTTCTTTGCTTGTGCTATTTTTAAATGCAAGTTTAGCAATTTGAGTGCTGAAACAGAAGGGGGCTCTTTTCCTTTCTTTTCTCCCAAGAAATCAAAGACATCCTAATTGATTAAGTCTCTGATACTCTCCATTTCTCTCCAAATATCTCTGAACTCACTGTCTCTTGTCCTTAACCTGCACATTGTCCAATGTCCTTCCAAGTGAAAAGGGGCTCACGGGACTTATTTTCAACAGGCACCGTAATTAAGACAGGATCACTGTCTGTTCAGATACTTTCACACAGGGCAGAAGGGACATTCACAGCATCCTTCATAGCACATACTGGTGCTGCAGCTCACATCTCCCTGCTGAGCTCAATCTGCCCCGCTTCTTTCCCTGGATAAACTGTATCTTCCAGAAAAGTACCTAGACTTGCTTGGAAGATAGATGGAGAATCTAAGACTTCCTTCTCAACTCCTACAACCACTGGGATTTTTGTACGGTTTTCTCTCACCGTTTAAACCCGTAATTTTTCCAGTTTTTGTTACAGCAATGTAGATATGATGTCATATTTGTGTTGAACTTTTAAGAGTGGGGAAAAAAAAAAAATCAATAGCTTAACTTCAAGCTACCTTAATTAAAAATAATCTGTGATGTTGTTACAGAGTGATGAACAAAAAAACCTATCAATTACTATGGAAACTCTGAAAAAGGACAATTAAGAGCTAATTGTCACGTATGCCAAAATAATCACTCAGCAATAGACCTCGCACTGCTCATCGTAAGGGACAGTTTCAGTTACAGTACGTTTCAGAAGTCCAGGCATACATGAGCACTGGCTAATAAGACTTCTCTACTAAGAACGAACAAAAGGCTTTCCTGAAATATCTAAAATTTGCAAGTGAAATGTCGTATTAACACACCCGCACTAGAGATGAGAGAAGGAGGGGAGACCACCTCCCATAAATCTCTGGCGGAGAGGGGATGGCAGACTGCAGCTAAGATTCTCTCTTCTTCAGGGTGGTCCTTTTCCACCCAGCCCCTCTCATTCTTTTGATATTCTAATACATCTCTGCAGCTCTCCTGTCCCTCCTCCCTTTATTAACTATTTTTCTGCGATCGTTCTCCCTGCACCTCCCTCTTACTCCTCCTCAGACTCTTTGCTGTACACCTCTCCTACCTTTCTGGTTCAGTTTTGTTTCTCTTCTGTCTCTCTTGGTTAAGTCCCCCTTCTCTGCCCCCATAACCCATCATAGTTTCCCCGTTATTTCAACACCTCTCTTCCAGCTTCACTTTTTCAAATCCTTCCCCTGTCTCCTCCCAATATTTTTTGCATTCTGTTGTCTCGTCTGTTGGTCTTATCAGCTGTACACGCAGACATGACTCAGGCACCCAGTACTGCTTTACAAATGTTGATGACACAGAAAGCTTAACTCACTGTCAAGAAAGTGTCATGTTATTTTGTTAGTTGCCATTTATTTTACTTGCTGGGAACAGAACAGGAAAGATATTTACCAGGAGCAGTTAACACCAATGTGCAAAAGAGACTCATGAACAGTTGCTTGGGTCAGTGATTTCCTTCCTAAATATCTACAAAAGGAATTACATAGGAACATAATCCTTAAATAAAAAAATAATTAACCCCCTAAACAGTTTCATTATTAAAAGCCTACATTCTGATGACCAGATGTCTTTTCAAAGCAGCAAAATGTAATTAATTAAGGATTTGAAAAAAACAGGCATTTAAGTCAAAACAAATTCTGTTCTCTTTTCTCCATGTAATTCCAGCAGTTTCTTTAAAATAAAAGGGAATATGCAAGTTGGTATCACATTAAAAAAAGGGCAAAACACCCACATAGCCCACCAGACCACAAATTACTATCCTAATAACACTTTAAATCCCTCAATGTGCTGTTGCCATAAAGAAGAATATGGAAATTATAAACAACAAGGGTTTGCAAACGCCTCTCTTGCAGCCCTATAGGAGGCATCCGAATGCCGCCGGAGCGCGGGTGCCAGCCGGCAGCCTCCGCAGCCTCCGCAGCCCCTCTGCCTCGCACAAGCCCTCGGGAGGGGAAAGGGCCCACGGGGTGCCCTGGAAGCAGCCCCAGGCATCCCTGCAGACTTCCCCAGCTCCCTTGGCTTCGCTTTCCTGACGACTCCGTGCATTTTGTATGGGATTGAATGGAGGACAAATGCTGTAAGTGCATCAATCTCTCAGGCAGAGACTTGCTCGGGGACTGGCACTACTGTTGACTAAAACCAGAAGGCTCTTCCTTGGGCATTCCTGAAATCCTCAGTCTCTCATGATTACAAATCCTCTATACAAATAAATGATGCCAAATATAATACCACTCCAGAATGAAACTACTGCAACCCCAATGGCTGAAAGAAAGTAAATCTTTTCTGGATCTGTGTGAATTATTCTACCAGCAAACACCTGAGCAGTCTCAACGCCAGCACGGTAACATTGTCCCATGCTGGGTGGGACAACAGAGGCAGCTTGTTAAAACTCTTAGAAGAATATGAGAATATTCCTTTTTCCTGAAAGGAAACTCATTAGCGCATGATTTTATTCTGAAAACAAGTCACACGCGAGATCAATCAGGAACAAAAAGAGAAAAATTGCCCAGATATTAAAACTCTAAATGCATTTGCCATGTAGTTACAGGGGAAATTTTCACCTGCTGTGTTGCTGAACAGAGGGAAAACTCTTCTTTAGTTAGTGTGTAGTGTCTACCGCAATATTTCAGCCTCACCTGCTACAGAACTAGTGAATATATTTAACCGTATTGAAAAGGGTTAAATAAATTCCGTATCTGTAAGATCCTACAAAGACTAGAATTGTAGGATTCTGCAAAGATAGTGCTATGAATTACACGCCTCTCTCCACTTCTCTGCCTGTGCTAGCCAGCTTTCTAAACCCCGCTGAAGGAACCGGGCAGGGACACGCCATAAAAATTCAGCGTTTAGCAGAATTTAGCGAGCTTGAGCAACACCGAAGGCAACAAGTATGCAAATAAGGAGCAAAAAGAGCATTGTTTTTTTCAGCTTATTCAGTTACCAATCTTTCAATTATCTTCGTTGCCTTCTTAGAAGAGCTTGAATGAGCTGATGAGCTTGAAACTCTGTACCACGACCCCCGGGGCTTCCTCAATGAACCTCCCGCTGACGCAGCGCGGGCATCCCGCGGCCGCCCGCGGGACCAGTCAGTCGCCGCGCAGTTAACTACGGCTGGGAACTTCCCAGCTCGCGCTCGCAGCGTGGCACCGGCCGCGAGGAAACGGAGAGAAACACAGAACAACCTGCAGAGAGGAGGGAGGGAAAACAGAGAGAAAAGAATCGCACGGCAAGCCGAGGCGATCAAAGAAAGGCATGCAACGAACCGTGGTCCAGCGCCGGCGCCAGCCAGGGCGCGGCTGAGGTTCCAAACCAAATCTGGCAGCTAATAAACTTCATCAGCTACCTTGAGCAAATAGATTTTAATCCCTTTCCACTGTACAAACACAGCATACTTGCAGTTTCCTTCCTCTCCCTCCACGTTGGTATCAGTTACCCGGTTTGATAGCTGTAACTAATAATGCAGCCGCAGGGACTGGCTGGGGCGCCGGCCGCCCGGAAGGA